AGCATTAGTAGGATATTTTTAACCTGTGTTATTTACTCCCTAGGTTGTAGTAAATATACGAAATTTGCGATATAACTCATTGCGTTAGTCTCAAAGCAACAATATGTTATTTGTCTCTCTGCAATATAATTCATTGTGTTAAGTCTCTATGCGGTAATGAATTATCAACTTTTTTTATTCATTCCCTAGGTTGTGATGAATAAAAAAAGCATTATAAGTTTAGTATATTAGTCTCGAAGAGTTAGTGAGTCAAACTTTCAAACTGGTTTTGTTTACTCTATAACCGCAATATAGCTTGTTGCATCAGTCTCAATGCAGTAATAAGTTATCAATCTTTCAAACTTGTGTTATTTATCTACTAGGTTATAGTAAATATGCAAAGTCTACGATCTCTCTTCTAGGTATTGGCGAGTTATCCGCATCGTTATATCTAGGTCAATCTCACTCTTTAATCATACTCTCTATTCAAACTTTGGTAGGATGATGCATCATCATCTTTGCCTATTTTTCTGTACTCTTGGGAACGTTTTAGAGTGTATCTTTATAATCTTTGGTCCAAATTTTAGGGTCTTCCATTATTTAATAACCTTCTGATCTGAATGTGCGAAACTTCGTATACTAACACGCTTCAATCGTAGAGTAATTAAATAGAGGCAGTTCTCATACCCCAAATTTGTCCGCCTAGATGCTACAGTCAAAATTATTTTCAAAATTAGGTTTTAAAATTCTTTTGGTTCGTTTACACTAACATTCTTTGGTTTTTATAAATATTCATTTTTAAATTATTTTTCTTATTTAAAAATATACATAATAATTAATTTGTATTTTTTAAAATAACAAATACTTGCTCGTCTTCATATACTTTCAATTGAGTTTTTGTTTCAAATAAGTAACATAGCACAATTGGTAAGGAATACAATTTGCAAACATAAGATCATGGGTTCAAAACTCACTTGGTGCATTTTGAATATTTTTCTGTCTATATGTTACTAATTTTATTTCCATTTATATTCAAAAAAATCACAAACATCTTATTATTATTTAAACATTATTTCCGTACATTTAATTAATGCATTTAAAAAAAATATTTATTTGATTTTATGCACTTTTTACCAAAATTGAGTGTAAAAATTATAATAAATACCAAAAACATTTTCTTTTATGTTTAATTGTTTTTTATTGGTCAATCGGTGTTAATTTGTGTCATATCATCTTATGATTGGTTAGCTTGGTGTCCAAGGAAAATTTGATTTGTCAATTAACTTTATTTCCTAATTTATTGACCTAATTATCACTATAAATAGGTCAATATTTCATACTATTTTTCATCCACAACTCACTAGAGTTCTCCTAAAAGTTGTTGCTCTTCCCATCGAAGAGCAACAACAAAGAATCCTCAAGTCTCCATCAACAATCATTTGGAGATCAACAATCTTATCGACAATTATTTTAGGATTCTGAAGAGAACAACTAAAAATTTTCTCCCAATTGGGGGGCGAATTTTCTAATACTATCAGACACTGACCGTGAGCACCTTCCCAACGTTGTCGCTCTGTAAAAGCTCTAAATCGATACTTTTTCTTTGGTCCCTCTTAAATTTTTGTGCTGTTTGAGATTGATTCATTGTTCTTGTTCTATTACTGAGATGGAAAAGGGATTTGAGAAATTCTAAAAAAAATATTGCATGTGTCATGTGGTAATTGGAGTATTTTTTTAAGAGAAAATTTGAAACTATTGAATGAGAGAGTGAGAATAATATGGAGGGGGTTTAACAGTAATATATATATATATATATATATATATATATATATATATATATATATATATATATATATATATATATATATATATATATCTTCATTTTTTTAAATTTTTTTATATTATTTATTTTTATTGTTACTATTATTTTATTTAATTAGGTTTAGATTTATGTTGGACTTGGGCTTCTTCTTTTATAATCCACATCACCCATGTTTTTCTACTCACACCCTTTTAGATTTCTCATTTTACTAATTTATTTTATTTTATTTATTTGATTTAAATAGTTTATTTTCATTTACCGTCCTTTTTTTATTAAATCAGTTTTAACTAGTTTGATTATTTTTATTACCGAAAATACCAAAAAACTTGTTTTATTAGGTTTTAGACTAATTAGATAATATTAATTCATTTGTACCTAAGATAAACACCTTTCGCAATTGAATCAAAATTAATTCAATATTTTACAAATATATTAAAACCCACATAGTTCACCAAATACTCCACCCACGTCTTTCATGATGAGCGACATGTGATCAATATCTGGTCACATGATGAGGAGACTTTATCGGACTCCTTCCGCTCTACATCGTAGCATACTCTTTATCGACCAATCAAATACTAAAATAGCTAACCAACGTTCAAACTATTTTTCCTACTAACATAATCGAAAATTACACGATATTTTCTAAAAAAGGATTAAGGAGAATTGCTATGAAAATTAACTGCGAACTGCGTCTACGATCACTCACTTTTAAAACCCACACAAGGTTCAAGGATAATTTCTAAAGCAATTATATGCAATCCTATAAAACACCAACCAAACACTATGAACTACAAAATGAGACTCTGATTCTTCATAAGAAGATACGTAGGCACGCGACTTAAAAACCAAGGCGAGTCCCCTAATTAAAAGACTAAAACCCTTTTCCCCTAATTAAAAGACTAAAACCCTTTTCCCCTAATCAAAAAAATTAAAACCCTATCCTTAAACCTTAAAGTGAAGCCTAACACCGTCCCTTCGTCTAAATTGAAGCACGAGCTTAAAATCTCTATACACTTAGAGTTATTCCATTATTCACCCGTCGTTAGGACAAAAAGTAGTGGTGGCGGCTCGTTATTTTTTGCTGGTACGACATAGGGCTAGCTAATAGATTTTGTAGAGGAAGTAACTTGAGTTTCCAGACTCCGTTTGATGCACCGTTCAAAGCGTTAGGAAGCTAATGCGGTGAACTATACTTTGGTGAAATAAAAAGAAACATGTCATGTGTTTCTCCAGTGATTGTGTTATAATAAAGTGACGTGATTATGAGATGATGTAACGTGATTGTAGCTATGAAAATCGGAGATCAAGCTATTAATTAACTTGACTCACAAATAAGCAAGACTCGCCACCGCGCTTTATTATTTCCAAGGGGAAAGGGAAAAATGAGAAATAAAACTCGTGAATATGCAAAGTAAGTTCAATACTAAAAGTAAAGAAAAATACAATGCATTTGAAAAAAATCGAAGGTTCGGGGGTTGGTTATACAAAGGGAAGGTACTAGCACCCTATGTATCTATAGTATCCTATACGAACCTTTTGAAATATCTATTTTTTGGTTAAAATTGATTTTCTTGCTAAATGAGTGTGGGGATGAGATCTTGAAGATGCGATGACCCACTGTCGAAGTTTTGGCTTAAAAGAGTGTAAGTTTAAAATTTTGAATTTTTTAGGAAATTTAACTTAAGGTTAACAAAACTACAAAATGTATGAAGGGCCTTCGCACAATCATATAAGATACGCTCAATGACATTAAGTCAATGAATTAATTCTTTCCTTTGGATTAAAACACAAGGACCATAAACATAACATTTATCAACACATGGTACGGTATAATCAAATAATCAAAAAATCAAATTAACAATTAAATGATTCACACTAATCGAGTTAAATGACAATATTTACTAAAATTAATTGATCAACATTAGTTAGAGTAAAAAACATCATTCAACAATTAACAAATATTAAAATAAATATGAAATTATTAAAAATAAATAAACATAATTATCAAAACTAATTAATATTAACAAAATATCAAAATGAAATAAAAACAAACAATAAAAAAGAAAAGAATGAAAGAAAGAAATTGAAAAATTGGGCCATAATTGAGTGAAATAAGGAGGGTTCTAACAAGATTTCAGACTGGGCAAAGGGGCATAAGCTCAAGACACATAACAAGCCAAAAAAAATTAATAAATAGAAATTGGGCTCGGGTCATGTTGGGTTTAAATGCCCAACGAAAACGACTTATTAAAAAAAATCTAGATCACTAATATGGAAGGGAGGAGCCGCTGCAATTTTTTAAAGGAAAAAAGTATCAATTAATTATTATTTATCCCAATTAATCATTCAATTAACACAAATGTTATCTCTTCTTCTCTCACCCCAATTCACATGTTTCCAATATCATCAACTTGCTCTCATATTTTCCAATTTTATCTCGAACAAAAACAACAACACCATCTCTTTGTTCACGAAAAAAACGCTTGGTTCTCATATTCTCGAAACAAAACGAAGCTTCCTCTATGTTCTTCTCTCAAACTGTGTTTCATCTCAACATCCCTCACTCTCTCAATTGATCAAACATACAACAACAACAATCTCTCTCACTCAGTTTTCTCTCTCACTGTTTTCTCAAACATCGATGCTTTTTCTATCATCTCTCTGCTTTTAACCATGAAATCGAATAACAACAACATAATGCTTTGTTTTCTGTAAATCAATGTTAACAACAACAAACTTTACTCTAGAAATCGTGTTCTACTTCCTTCCACCGACCAACAAATAAATCCCCTGTTCTCTCATTAATCGCATACTTCCTCTAATCTCTCTCGATCTTGCTATTTTCTATCATCCTTAATTATCCTTTAAATCTCAGTAAAACATGAAATCCATACATCAAACTAAACCCCAGTCCATGAAGATTCCAAATTAAATCCCAACTAAACCGTATTTATGCCATAAATATGGGGAAGAAGCAATAGCATGAGCGGATTTGTTTCATAGTAAAGAAGAAAAAACATCAAAATATATGAAGATGGGTAGAACCTACCTATGATAGCGATAATCCTACCAATCGTTTGTTGATTGAAGAAGAAGATTTGAAGATGGAAATTCAGGGACTCGAGGTATTTCCGAACAAGAACTTTTCTTTCTTGCGAATCCGGCTATGGCATCGTGATCAATAACAAAAGACTTTATGGCAATTTTACACGTGTATGTTTCTCAATCTCTGTTCATCTTTATCTATTTCCTCTTCTTCTTCTCCTGAGTTTGTGATGCTGCGTTGTTGAGTTGTTTTTGTGTGTTTGCGTTTATGCTGGTATCAATGATTGCATGTTATTGCAGAGAGGTTGAGTTTTAATTTGGACAAAGTTTATTTTCTTTTCTTCTCCGTCTTTCCGGTTTGATTGTTGACTGGAAACTTGATGGGATAATGCATATTGAAGGAGGTTTATGGTCAAACCTATTTAGAGTTTTGGTTTGAAACTCTTAACCGCTTGTGTTGGAGCTTTGATGGAAGGTTATGGAGGAAGAACTTTCTAAATTAGTTTTTTGCAACACTACTATATTCTTTTCTTAAATGTTTCTGGTGAACAAAAGTTTTGAAATCTCTTTTCTCTGTTATTTTTCTCCCCTGTTTGTGGACTCCCTAATATCAGTCCCCCCATTAAACAAACTTCCTTCTTTTTTTATAGAACAAAATTTCTGAAAATTTAGGAGGGAACATTGATAAATTTGAACAAAACTAGACTTCTGATCTTATGCATTTTGGATGCAGGTATTGTTTTTCTATTTTGGTGTATGGATTGCATTTTTGGACTGATGTAATAGGCTGGATGACAAGGTCTTTTGGCACCTTTTGCATGGTTGGAAATTGGCTTCTTGTAGCAGGTTTGGCAGGGCAGCATTGCAGGTTTTTTTGCAGAGATAGGGATTGGTTTTATGGACTAATATGCAGAGGAAAACAACAGTAGGCAGCAAGTTTATCTTGGAGCAGGGGCAGATTTGGATGGAGATAACACTTGAAGAGAACTTAGGATTAGGTCTAAGGCAAAAGTTCTTGATAGGTTTAAGTCTTGTCTATCTTGTGTAAGTTTTATGTAAATAATAAAGTTGTAATGGTGATGATTTGAAATTGATCAAATAACTTGGATGGTTCATGTAGTATTGTGAAGCTTTGTGATTCTTTAAAATTCAAACTTGAAATATCAAAAGAAAACTTCTAATACTCGAATTTTATTCTAATTAGAATGTGTATCGAAGTTTGTCCTTGAATTTGAAATGCATGAATGATGAATGAAGTTGAACTTTGAGAAAGGTCTTGAATAATGCTTGAAATTTCGAACAATTCACATTAATGAACTCACACTCTTGAAATAATCCTTGAGAAATTGGAGTGCATCTTACTCAAAACTTCAAATTCATAAACCTTCTTGAATCACTCTTGCAATTAAGAACCCTGATGTTATTTGACGAACTTGGATACTTTGACTTTATGGAATTGGTTAATTGAAAGAAAAATTCACAATAGTGAATCCATTCTTAATTCAAATCTCAAATCCAAGTCAACTTGCAAATAATACTAATTTGAAGAATCCCCAACCTCATGCCACGCTTCATACACGTCTTTGAACTTGTACTTCAATCCACCATAATGAACAATGCCTTTGAAGAAACTTATTATAACATGAGTTGAAAGTAGTGGTTAAGAACATTCTAAGTCAAAACGTGACCTATAACATTTCAGTAAGTTTCATGGCTTTCCAAGCCCAATTCGACTTCGATCTTTGAAGAAATCTCATATACAATGCTATTTGTGATACTTGGAAAAAAGAATTGCCTCAAAATGTCGAGAATCGAAGAAGTTACGATCCTTGGAAGTTGGGAACAACTATTTTGAGATTAGGTCAAATTCCACAGAATAACCTTTAAAGTATTCAAATTTTCGATGATCTTTTGCACATAATTAACTCTTGACTTGTAAAGAGAAGTTAGAGGTGACGTCCAGGAGAGTCATACGCAAAAAGAACCACTCAAAAATATTGAATAATGAAGAAGTTTCAATCGTTTGAACCTGATCTTGAAAATGTCGACTTTTGGTCAAAGTGCTTTGAATCGACTTGCAAATTTGATCTTTCCTCACATTCCCAGACATATTGATGCACATATGGACCAGTGATGATAAAATCTTGACTGTGCTTTTGGTTAAAGGCTAAACTTTGATGAAGTAGTCTTTGAGAATTGGAGATTCACTATACTTGACCACTTGTGGGACCCAAAACCCTAATTGAGGCGCAACAGCTGATGCTCTTGATTCAGACTTGTCTCTGCACATGAAACCAAGGAAACAAAACATACACCTTTGTATTTGATTAGATGTTAGTGATGCATAAGATAAGATGTTCGCAACACTTGATAATCTCTGCATAAGCAATGCTCGAAGGTGAAAGGGTTAAAAACCAAATGTATATGATGACCTTGATGATATATGAGAATGCAAATAAAGGTGGGGTCTTAGGTAAAAAAATTAGGGTATGACAGCTGCCCCTATTTAAGTTTCTTCTATTCGGAGATATGAAGATGGAAATCTTCATTTCAACGAGATTGAAGATACTTAAATGTAGAATACACAATTTTTGGTCCTAAGATACCATAATGAATTTTATGATATGATATGAATGTAATGTCCTGAATTTGATGGGGAATGACGCCACATGAGATTAACTACTGCTGGAGAAACCACACATGATAATGTAATCCCGCAAGGGAAGAGATTATAACTCCACTGGGAATTAGAGCCACAAACTTCGAATAAGAGACTCTTATTGGGGAACAAATTCGATAGAATAAGAACAATTACTAACTCTAAAAAAGAAGATGCCTTGCATAGGCTGTGAAAAGATAAATGGCTACTAACTCAAGATGATGGAAAATTTCCAACTCAGTGTCAAAGGTAGAAAATAAAAAAGATACATATTCACAGATGACGGTAAAATACCAACTCAATAGTTGAAGGTAGAATAAAAAAATATCGACTCACAGATGACGGTAACCTACCAACTCAATAGTTGAAGGTAGAAGATCAATAAGATACCGACTCACAGGTGACGGTAAACTACCAACTCAATGGTCGAAGGTAGAATCGAAAAAGACATCGACTTACAGATGACGATAAACTACCAACTCAATAGTTAAAGGTAGAATCGAAAAAGATACCGACTCATAGATGACATTAAACTACGAACTCAATGGTTAAAGGTAGAAGATCAATAATATACTGACTCACATATAACGGTAAACTACCAACTCAATAGATGAAGGCAGAAAAGTAAGAGTTACCGCCTCACTGATGAGGGTAACCTACAACCTCAATAGTTGAAGGTAGAAGATCAATAAGATATTGACTCACAGATGATGGCAAACTACCAACTCAATGGTCGAAGGTAGAATCAAAAAAGATACCGACTCACATATGACGGTAAACTACCAACTCAATAGTTGAAGGTAGAATCGAAAAAGATACTGACTCACAGATGACGATAACCTACCAACTCAATGGTTGAAGATAGAAGATCAATAATATTTTGACTCACAGATGACAGCAAACTACCAACTCAATAGATGAAGGAGAAAAAGTAAGAGATACTGAATCACAGATGATGGTAAACTACCAACTCATTAGTTGAAGGTAGAATCGAAAAAGATACTAACTCACAGATGATGGTAAACTACCAACTCAATGGTTGAAGGTAGAAGATCAATAATATACCGACTCACAGATGACAGTGAACTACCAACTCAATAGATGAAGGCAGAAAAGTAAGAGATGTTTTCTCAGAGATGACAATAAATTATGAACTCAATAGTTGAAGGTAGAAAAGTAAGAGATACCGACTCACTGATGACGGTAAACTACTAACTCAATAGTTAAAGGTAGAAAAGTAAGAGATACCAGCTCACAAATGATGGTAAACTACCAACTCAATAGATGAAGGCAAAAAAGTAAGAGATACTGACTCACAAATGACGATAAACTATCAACTCAATAGTTGAAGGTAGAAAAGTAAGAGATACCGACTCAAAGATGACGGTAAACTACCAACTCAATAGTTAAAGGTAGAAAAGTAAGAGATACCAACTCATAGATGATGGTAAACTACTAACTCAACAGATGAAGGTAGTTGCTCTAGACTGGCCCGACAACTAGAATGGGCCTAGTCTAAGATATTTCCTTTGGTACGGCCCACACAACCTTGACCCAGATTGCACGCTACCTGTCGGGCAATGTTAGTTGTTTGCCCTTCCGAGCCAACACTGGCCCAGGATGATCGACGTGCATCCTCTCAGCCTGCCCGATATCAATGTCGTGCAGGCCACCAGGAATTGACCAGAGAGATGCCCGTTACTAACCCCCTCATCGGGACCAATGGCTAGTGACGAGCACATCTGCCCGGTTTGACTAAGTCTTGGAACTTACCTGATTTCAAAGACCCTCATATCTAGGCGGAAAATTAGGAACCAATGGCCATGCTCCAGAGGCATTATATAAACCCTCACACCTGTGAGGGCCATGTATTCAATATTCACTACTCACTACCTGATATTTTTGGTTGTACCTTTCTGTTCCCACTCTTACTTGATCGTCGGAGTTCCTTACAGTTACAACCCCCTTTTCTCCTTAGCTTACAGCCCGATTGCAGATCATCCTCCGACCACTCTTCAAGTTCTGATCAACCGGCAAGATCAGTGGCTCCGTCTGTGGGAAACTGCTATCCCCATCTTTCTTCCCTCGGAACTTAAGATCAAAGCAACTTTTTCAAGATTTATCTCTAATCATGGCTGACCATGATGATCTTCACATATACGGAAAGACCATTCTTTCCCTGGATTGCAAAACTGACGGAAGTCAGGAACACCCTCACCTCGAGGACAACCTAGGCTTCGAGATGGACAAACTGCATCTCCAGATTCCACTGATGCTCGGCGCAGTGACGAACAATTCTTGGACAAGGGACACTCCAAGAATCTTGCTGAGGAACTTCCAAAAGTCATACAACCAGTTCATGTCCCTCTCAACGCTGACCCGTCCATGGCAGCACTGCTCGCTGCTATCAATCAGACCATCGCCCTCATCCTACAATAAAATCAAAGGATATGGGCCTGGGAGAACAGGCGATCAAGATCTCCTCCTTAGAGAACCCATCGATGAAACTCCCGCAGTGCATCGCTACCCAGGCGTGGCCCACCGCCCAGAAAGAAGAGACGCGAAGTTTCTTTCTTCAAGAAACCCAATCGCACTCCTACTCCCAGAGATCAAGACACCCCTTCATTCAAGAAGAGGAAGGACAACAGGAAAATCGACCGAGCTCGACTGCCTTCCCCCGAGCCAAAGCAGAAACAAAGTATCCCCTCCCCACGACAGGACCATGACGATCGACAGGGGAGAAACTATCACTCTCCTTCTCCATCTCCCGTTGATTGTGAGGATGACGAGCCCCGTGGCCTGCTATCGAGAGAGATTACTGAAGCTCCACTTCCTATCGGCCTAGAGAAGCCGCCCACCTTGGGAACCTACGACTGAACAACAGACCCTGATGAGCATATCGAGAACTTCGATGCTCTCCTCAACTACCGAGGGGTCAGGGGAGCCATCAAATGTAGACTCTTCCCAAACACTATCAGGAAGGGGGTGATGGCATGGTACAAGAGCCTCCCCGATGAATCCATCACCTCATGGAAACAACTCGAGAGGATATTTTCGAGGCATTTCACCGCCTCCCATCGAAACCATAAATCAGAAGCTTCTCTTGAAGTGATCATACAAGGTAGGGAAGAGTATCTGCGAGCATATATTGAATGATTTAACAAGGAGGCAGTGAAAGTCCCAACAATAGACAATATGAAGAAGTACCTCCTTGAGCGCGGGATCTGTTCCCGCAGTGACTTTGCCAAGGCTGTGGGCATAGAAACACCA